TTCGGGATTTCCGGGTTTGTTTTGGGTTTGGTTTTCTCAAAAAGTGAGTTTCCAGGGTTTGGAGTTTGCCTAAAGAGGCGTTGTGCCTTTTGTGCCCGGGGGCCTTATGAAGAGGTGTGCAAGGCCTTGCAAGTAGATTGCAGAGCTCGGACGAACGGACTCTGCACCTAAGCCCCCCCAACCCTAAAGGCCCTAAACCTTAAGCCCCCAACCCTAAGCCCCCAACCCTACAGGCCCTAAACCTTAAGCCCCAAACCCTGAACCTTAAACTCTACCTTTCTGGCGCCCTTGCCATGTCTGGTAAGCGTCATGGGGAGTACGCCGACGAAAGTCACCTCACCATCGCCAGCTTTACATTCTCGAGCGCCACTTTCGCGTCCGCGCAAGTCGGGCGGCACCAAGGGGTTTTTCGGGCGTGGCCTCACACAGATTCCGCGCCCGCCAGAATTCTGCTCAACTTGCGACACCCTAAGCACTAACCCCTAAACCCAAAACCCAAAACCCTAAACCCTGAACCCTATTTCCATCCCTGGGATTCACAAAATCCCCCAACTTCCCTAACGCCCCTAAACAAAGCTCGAAAACCCCCTAAGAAGCCAACGAACACCCTAAGCCCGAAGCCCTAAGCCCTAAACCCTAAACCCGAAACCCCCAACTTCCCGAAAGCCCCCGAAAAAGCCTCGAAAAGCCCCCTTCAGAAGCCGACAACAAACACCCTAAAGAGCCCCCCCCGACATCGGCACCATGGGGGCTGTGCCCAGGTCCAAGGCATCCAAGTCGCGGCCCACTTCGGCCCACGCCTGGGGACCCAAGACTGTTGTTTTTTTTTTTTTTGTGGGAGTCTTTAGGGTCTCTGTGCAGTTCTTAGGGCTTTTGGGGTGTTTAGGTTCCTTTTTTTTTTTGGGGGGGGGGGGGGGGTTTAGGGCCGAAGCTTGGGATTTGGGGCTTAAGCCCCGGAGTTGAAGGTTCGGGGTTTTGGCCCGGTGGCTGTATGATTGTCTCTCAACAGTTAACGTCTATCTGCTTAGGGGGTGGGGGTTTCTGGGGTTTCAGGAGAGGGTTTAGGGTTTAGGGTTTAGGGTTAGGGTTTAGGGTTTAGGGTTAGGGTTTAGGGTTTAGGGTTTAGGGTTTAGGGTTTCGGGTTTAGGGGCCTAAAGGGGTTCAAGTCCAGGTTGGACCCTGTAGGGCCATGCTAGAGAAGACGCCTCTCGCCTCCCCCCTCCCCTTCGGGTTTAGGGTTTAGGGTTTAGGGGTTAGGGTTTAGGGTTTAGGGTTTAGGGTGTAGGGTTTAATCCTCGGATCCCGGCCGGGCCGTGACGTAATTTCCTGCACCCAAGCCATTTAATTAGGGTTTAGGGTTTAGGGTTCAGAGTTTAGGGTTTAGGGTTCAGAGTTTAGGGTTTAGGGTTTAGGGTTTAGGGTTTAGGGTTCAGAGTTTAGGGTTTAGGGTTTGGGGTTTGGGTTTGGTTGCTCCGTAGAAAGTTCGGGGTGCCATCGGCCTGCCGCGGTGCTTCGGAGAGTTGAGGAGCACAAGATTCTGAACCCAACCTGAAGATCCCCAACCAGTCAAAAGACTGAGCACCCTTCCTACACATCAAACCCTAAACCCTAAACCCTAAACCCGAAACCCTAAACCCTAAACCCGAAACCCTAAACCCTAAACCCTAAACCCTAAACCCTAAACCCTAAACCCTAATGCAGCGGAAGGCGCAGGCTGACAGCCCCAGCGGCACAGGAGCTTCGGTTGGAAGGGGCCAAGGGGTTGAGGGGTTGAGGGGTTGAGGGGTTGAGGGGTTGAGGGTTCGGGGTTTAGGGGTTTGAGGGGTTGAGGGTTTAGGGTTCAGGGGTGAGGCGAGAGGGTTTAGGGTTTAGGGTTTCGGGTTTAGGGCTTAGGGTTTAGGGGTTGAGGGCATAGGATCAGGGTGCAGTGTTTTGTGTTGGGGGAGAAAGGGTTGAGGTTGGCAGTGCCATCATGTGCACACGCAACCTCTCACCCTAAGGCCTAAGCCTTAAACCCCCAAACCCTAAACCCCTAACCCCTAAACCCTAAACCCTAAACCCTAAACCCTAAACCCTAAACCGTAAACCCTAAACCCCAAACCCTAAACCCGAAACCCTGAACCCTAAACCGCAATTGGTACTGACTCGAGGGTTTTTGGAAGGTTAGGAGTGTCCAACAACCCTAGACCTTTAAGCCCCAAACCACCCACAAAAACCCTCAAACCTTACCTGCAACTCCCTTAAACTCTGATCGCTGGGCATTTATGGGTGGAAGGGAAACCCGAAACGCTAAACCCTAACACTCCAGCTCTTCGACTCCTGCCTCAAGCCCCCCTTCAGCTCAGCTCCCCAGGAGACAGGAGCAAGGCGATGTCTCATCTACCGGTGGGGGCTCCCAGGTTGCTCCGTTTGAAATGGGTTTAGGGTTTAGGGTTTAGGGTTTGGGGTTTAGGGTTTAGGGTTTAGGGTTAGAAAAAAGGCGCTCCGCATTCTGAGAAATGTACAAACTGTGGTTGTAGAGATAGAGGGAGAGACAGAGAGAGGGAGAGAGAGAGAGAGAGAGAGATCGGAGGTGGACCTCCAACTCCTAAACCCCTAAACCCCTGACCCCTAAAACCCTCAGCCCTAACCCCGGAACCCTTGAAATCCTAGGCCACCAACATCCCAAACCTAACGAATTGAGGGCTACCACTTTTCTACCCCAAGTAGAAGAGCATTTATTAAACGGACCCCTACAAAGGATACGCCCACTTTCAGAAACCCTAAGCCCTAAACCCGAAACCCTAAGCCCTAAACCCTAAACCCGAAACCCTAAACCCTAAACCCTAAACCCTAAACCCTAAACCCTAGGCCAGCAGCCGCAACCCGCTCCCGGCGGGCGCCGCGGCCGCGGCGGTGGCGGCTATGGAGGTGATCAACGGCTGCACGGAGGAAGGCCGCAGATGAGGGGGGGGGGGTTTAGGGTTTAGGGTTTAGGGTTTAGGGTTTAGGGTTTAGGGTTTAGGGTTTAGGGTTTAGGGTTTAGGGTTTAGGGTTAGGGTTTTAGGGTTCTTGGGGTTTTGAGTTTCAGGTTTAGGGTTTAGGGTTTTAGGGCCTTGGGGTGTAGAGGTTAGCGTTTAAAAGGGTTACGGGCTTAGGAAATAGGAAAGGAATTTACCAGCTCTATGGCCTGAATCCCGATTTCACCCGACGACAGACAATAGAAAAAGTTTTTTGTCCCCCACCAAAAAAAGAAGCAATACACAACAAAAACCAACGCAGGCAGGTTGGGGGGGGGCAGAGCCTTAAACCTAAACAGGGTCCTGAGCCCTTCGCCGCTAAACAGCTGTTCTGCCCCGCAAGGGCTTTTTGGGGGTCTAAGTGGGTTGAGGTTTTCGGGTTTAGGGTTTAGGGTTTCGGGTTTAGGGTTTAGGGTTCAGGGTTTAGGGTTTAGGGTTTCGGGTTTAGGGTTTAGGGTTTAGGGTTTAGGGTTTAGGGACTTTGGGTCTTGAGCAGCTGCAGCTTGCAACTTTGCGAACGCGGCTTCGGTTCGAGGTTGTGAAGGCCCGGAGATGTCTCCGTCCATCTCGGGGCTTCGGGTTCAAGGCCTACTGAAGGCCCTGAAACCTAACCCCTAAAACCCTAAGCCCTAAGCCCTAAACCCTAAACCTTAAACCCTAAACCCTAAGCCATAACCCGGAACGCTCCACCCTGTATTGCCGCGGCGGAGGTGCGGGATCGCAGGTCTGCCCCCTGCCACAATGCGCCACGGAACGCTCCGCACGTTGGTCATGTGCATCAGGGTTTCGGATCTGCGGTTTAGGGTTTAGGGTTTCGGGTTTAGGGTTTAGGGGATTGAGTTTAGGGTTAGGGTTTAGGGTTTAGGGTTTAGGGTTTAGGGTTTAGGGTTTAGGGTTTAGGGTTTAGGGTTTAGGGTTTAGGGTTTAGGGTCTGGGGATGTTCCCCCTTATGCCAACAGTCATAGGGAGTAGAAGGGGAGGGTACTAGAATCCCAATTAAGGGGCTGTTAGGATAAGGGGGGGAACCTCGCTCGGGTGGGGGGTGGAGCCGCCATCCTTCGAACCCTAAACCCTAGTAACGGTCCAACCAGAAAGCCTCCGAGTTTCAGTTCAGTATCTATTTAGGGTTTAGGGTTTAGGGTTTCCCGCAACAGGGGTTAACCCTCTTTCGTGAGGATGAGGGTGTTTTTTGGGATATTGGAGTCCTAACTTAAGTACGGTTCATGGGACTGGGCTGCTAAACTGGGGCCTCGGTTTCTGCGGCCGAACCCAAAACCCATTTAGGGTGTAGGGTTTAGGGTTTGGGGTTTGGGGCTTGGGGCTTTGGGGCTTTGGGGCTTTGGGGCTTTGGGGGTTTAGGGGGGACCCTAACCCACCCTAAACCCACTAAGCCTGACTGCGCCTGCCTCTGGCTTACAGCCACTTTGTGGGCGAACAACCGCTCGCTAGTGGCAGCTGACAAATGAAAGCTGCACTACTTCAGAAAGGGGGGTTCTGTCTAGGAGCTTGAGGGGTTTCATCGTTCAGGACTTCAAGACATCTCAGGACTCAGGAACAAGTCGTTCTAGAAGATACATGTCGGCGCCTAGGGGCGGATCTGCGCCAGGACCAGGATCCAAGATTCTTAACCTCACCCCAACCCCGCCAGGAGAGCCTGCGTCCGAGCAAGGGGCCCTCACTTCCAGCCTAGGCTTGTGCATTGTGGGGGCCTTTGGCAGCATGTGGCAAGCTTGACACCAGCACTGGCGGTCGCGATGCCCTCTCCGCCCCTGCCGCCACCAGAGGCGGAGGTGCCCGTAGAATTGAGGGTTCACAGAGCAACCTGGAATCCCTCAGCTCTTCAGCAGGTTTAGGAGGCTTCGGTGTTGCTGTGCTGAGCGATGACTTTCCGCATGGGGGGGCACAACTTCCGAAGTTTAACCGTAAAGCCATAACCCTAAACCCTAAACCCCAAACCCTAAGCCCTAAACCCTAAACCCCAAAATTCTGAGCCAAAGCCAGGTGGTTCAACATCCAGCGCCGCCGCCCGTCCAGCATCGAGTACGGTCGCCAAGCCCCTCAGGCGCCACGGGCCCAAGCCCTAAACCCTAAACCCTAAACCCTAAACCCTAAACCCTAAACCCTAAACCCTAAACCCTAAACCCTAAACCCTAAACCCTAAACCCTAAACCCTAAACCCTAAACCCTAAACCCTAAACCCTAAACCCCTAAACCCTAAACCCTAAACCCTAAACCCTAAACCCTAAACCCTAAACCCTAAACCCTGACCCTGAACCCTGAACCCTGAACCCTGAACCCTGAACCCTGAACCCTGAACCCTGAACCCTGAACCCTGAACCCTGAACCCTAAACCCTAAACCCTAAACCCTAACCCTAAACCCTAATTCCTACGCCCTAAACCCTAAGCCCTAAACCCGAAACCCTAAGCCCTGAACCCTAAACCCGAAGCTCTTCCGAGGGGGTCCGGGTCTCTTTCGACTAGGTTAAGGGGTAGTTGCGGTACCTAATGTCCCCCCCCCCCCCCCACCCCCCGACTTCCACACTGAGAACAAATAAGAGATGTATGTACGGCTTGGGGCTCAAGACTTGAGATCCCTAAACCCTAAACCCTAAACCCTAAATCCTAAATCCTTACCCCTAAACCCTAAACCCTCATTGTTTGTTTGGGGCTTCGGGGGGGTTGAGGTTTTTTTGGGAAGACTTCGCTTCAAAGGGAGGTGCGGAACCCTAACTTGCAAGCCTTCGACACCCCCAAAAGCACCCCAAAAAACTCGACAAATCTCCGGACACAAGCCCTATAGACTATGATCAAGCCCCGAACCCTAAACCCCAAACCCCCAAACTCTTAGCCCTAAACCGAAAACCCTAAACCCTAAACCCTAAACCCTAAACCCTAAACCCTAAACCGAAAACCCTAAACCCTAAACCCTAAACCCTAAACCCTAAACCCTAAACCCTAAACCCTAAACCCTAAACCCTAAACCCTATACCCTATACCCTATACCCTATACCCTATACCCTAAACCTGAACCTCAACCCCCGCCCGCCTGATCAGGCGGCCCAGTCGCCTTGGCCAACCCCCTACTCCGGGGTCCGCCAGTCCCGGGCCCAGGGTTTAGGGTTTAGGGTTTAGGGAACGATTCGTTTTGAACGAAGCACTCTTGTTTTCAAACCTAGTGAGTGGCGAAGCCATTGGGGCTCCGGGAATCTCTTGTTCTCTCTTTCTCTCCCTCAATACTCTATATATATATATATATATATATACGCACATGTACAAACATCACGTTTTTGCACTTTTGATGATTTTGCTATGATTCTTATTTGTATTATCTGTATCATTATCATTATCATATTCATTGCCAGATTCATTATCGTATTCTCTATCAGATTCACTACCACGATTTGTTGTTATCTTTGTCTTATTTGTTATTCTCATTGTTATTCTTGTTCTTCGTCCTATTATATTCCTTGATTGTGGTTGCTGTTCTGTTTATGTTTGTTTGTGTGTGTGTGTGTGTGTGTGTGTGTGTGTGTGTGTGTTTGAGTTGTGGGGGTGGGGGTTGGTGGGGTTCAAAGGTTTTGTGGAGTTTAGGGTTCAGAGCAGATCTTTCTGCATCTAGGGTTAGGGTTTCGGGGTTAGGGTTTACGGGCTACGGGTTTAGGGTTTAGGGTTTAGGGTTTCGGGGTTAGGGTTTACGGATTAGGATTTAGGCTTTAGGGTTCGGCATCTCAAGTCCAAGCGTTCACTAGTCAAGCAAGTTTTCGGGCGTTGGGAACATACCCACGTGCCCAAAGAATCCCATAACAGTAAGGAAATATGAAGTTCACTCAGTCCATAAACCCTAGGCACCAAAAGAAGCGTGAAACTACGACCACACTATCGATGAAACATTTATGTTACAAATTGATGAAGATATGCAAATTTTGAGATCAACGACAAAGGTAGAAATCTTGACATCAATGAACATATGGACCAGTTGACCATGCAATTATTGCAGCTTGCAATGATGACAGCCAGGAATCCGAATCACACCGAATACAAAAATGATGAGTGATTTGGTCGCACGCGGATGTCAAACCATGGTATTTCATAGTTGTAAATCAATGACATGTGATTTTAAGATTAAACGTGGTTGGGCTTAGGGCTTGTTGCCGCCAGGCTTTTCATATTACTTAAGCCTAAGTCCCCGATCATATCTCAAGCCCAGAACCCTAAACCCTTAAACCTTACACCCTAAGCTCTACGCCCTACATCCTAAACCCTAAACCCTAAAACCTAAACCCTAAACCCCAAACCCTAAACCCTAAACCCTAAACTCCAAACCTGTAACACCCCTATTTCCAGGTTGAGCCGGTGACCCTGCTCAATCGCTCGGTCACGTGGAAGGGTGGCGGCATCCTCGGTGTGCACGGGCTTAGGGGTTCAGCCTTTGCAGGCTTAGGGTTTAGGGTTTAGGGTTTAGGGTTTAGGGTTTAGGGTTTAGGGTTTAGGGTTTAGGGTTTAGGGTTTAGGGTTTAGGGTTTAGGGGGTTTAGGAGGTTTAGGGGGTTTAGGGGGTTTAGGGGTTTAGGGGTTTAGGGGGTTAGGGGTTTAGGGGTTTAGGGTTTAGGGTTTAGGGTTTAGGGTTAGCAGTCTGGGATTACAGATTGGGTGGAAGGGCCCAGGTTGCTAGGCCGCAAAGCTACAAACATGGCGACACCGCCCAAATTCGTTAAATCCTCCCCAAGCAAGTACACCCAGATACCCTAAACCCTAAACCCTAAACCCTAAACCCTAAACCCTAAACCCTAAACCCTAAACCTTAAATCTTAAACCCTAAACCCTAAACCCTAAACCCTAAACCCTAAACCCTAAACCTAAACCACCCTCAGCCCTGAACCCCAAACCCCTCCCCAAACCCGCAGTTGAAGGTCACACGCCTGGGGTCCCGACCCCTCCTTTCGCACTGCGGCCATCGGCGTCGGCAACGGCGCTGGCGTCCCCGACCAGGCTGTGCTTTAGGGTTTAGGGTTTAGGGTTTAGGGTTTAGGGTTTAGGGTTTAGGGTTTAGGGTTTAGTGTCGTTTTCTTCCTTGCTCTGTGCTGGTCGAATCGGGGAGTATGCGTGTGCGTGTGTGTACACTCCTCTGCTCCAAGGAGGCTTATAAAAGTATTTGGGGGGTGTGGCATGAGGCAGGCGTATGCAGGATTTCAAGGTTGAGGATTTAAGGCTTAGGGCTTGGGATATATTGTTTTGGGGCTTAAGGTTTAGGGTTTAGGGTTTAGGGTTTAGGGTGTTTACGATTCTAAGGGTTTGGGAAATCAGGTCCACGTTGGCCGCCTCGCCTCCGCGTCTGCTGCGCTCGCCCTCGCCAGCGCTGCCGTGCAAGGCCCAAGCCCAAGCAATCCGCAACCAGAAACCCGAGATTTTCAAATTTTAGAAGTTAGATCCTAAACCCTAAACCCTTAACCCTAAAGCCTGAACCCTAAACTCGACATTGTATGAAAAGTAGATCTTCGGTGATTTAGGGCTTCTTCCGGGTTTAGGGGAGGTTGCAGGCGGAGAAAGTTGAAGGTTTCTGGGATAGCCTTCAAGGAAGCCAGGACTGCAGGAGTGAGTTTCTACTGATCTCGCAGCACTTGTCCCTAAACTTCTCCCCAAAGCATTCTCGGTCCCCGAAGGCGACGGATCCCAAAGCCTGGGGTTTAGGGTTTAGGGTTTAGGGTTTAGGGTTTAGGGTTTAGGGTTTAGGGTTTAGGGTTTAGGGTTTCGAGCCCATTCAACCTCGAACCTGTCCAGCCCCCAAACCCCCAAACCGAAACCCTAGACCCCTTGAACCCCTAAACCCTTCGCCTGGACCCATTATAACTCCCTAAACCCCTACACCCCTAAACCCCTAAACCCCCCCAAACCCCTAAACCCCAAATCACCTAAACTCCTGTAAATCTCCTAAACCTTAAAACCTTAAAACCCTAAACCCAAAACCCAAAACCCAAAACCCAAAACCCAAAACCCAAAACCCTAAACCCTAAACCCCAAAATCGACAGGGGGTGTATCCTACCCTAAACCCTAAACCCTAAACCCTAACCCTAAACCCTAAACCCCAAATTCGACAGGGGGTGTATCCCTAAACCCTAAACCCTAAACCCTAAACCCTAAAACCTAAACCCTAAACCCTAAACCCTAAACCCTAAACCTCTCTTTCATATATAATTTAAATGTTAAGGAGGAGTTACTGGGCAAGGTCATTTTTTTACTGGGCAAGGTCATTTTGTTACTGGGCAAGGTCATTTCTTTATTGGGCAAGGTCATTTTTTTTACTGGGCAAGGTCGGTTCGGCCAAAAAAACGACCTTGCCCAGTAAAAAAATGACCTTGCCCAGTAAAAAAATGACCTTGCCCAGTAAAAATGTTACTGGGCAAGGTCATCTTTTTACTGGGCAAGGTCATTTTTTTTTTTTTACTGGGCAAGGTCATTTTTTTACTTGGCAAGGTCATTTTTTTACTGGGCAAGGTCATTACTGGGCAAGGTCATTTTTTTACTTGGGCAAGGTTATTTTTTACTGGGCAAGGTTATTATTTTTTTCTGGGCAAGGTCATTTTTTTTTACTGGGCAAGGTCATTTTTTTACTGGGCAAGGTCATTTTTTTACTGGCAAGGTCATTTTTTTACTGGCAAGGTCATTTTGTTACTGGGCAAGGTCATTTTCTTACTGGGCAAGGTCATTTTTTATTGGGCAAGGTCATTTTTTTATTGGGCAAGGTCATTTTTTACTGGGCAAGGTCATTTTTTTACTGGGCAAGGTCGTTCCATAAGTGAAAAATTTGCTTAATGTTGTGGGATTCTTCGGGCGGGTGGGTATTTTTCTGGAGTAATAATTTCTTGACTAGTGAATGCTTGGACTTGAGATGCTGAACCCTAAACCCTAAACCCTAAACCCTAAACCCTAAACCCTAAACCCTAAACCCTAAACCCTAAACCCTAAACCCTAAACCCTAAACCCTAAACCCTAAACCCTAAACCAGTCAGAATAGAGCTCTTGCAAATCTCTAGAACTGAAGAAGGCTGAGCCTCGGCTGACTCGGACCATCGTCAGCTCCAGCCGACTGGGGCCTGGTCCAAGATCAGGTTTAGGGTTTAGGGTTTAGGGTTTGGGGTTTAGGGTTCAGGGGTTTAGGGTTTAGGGTTTAGGGTTTAGGGTCCGTAGGGGGTTCTTGGTTTAGGGTTTGGAGTTTTGGGGTTTAGGGTTGAGGTTCAGGGGTTTAGGGGCTCCTAGTTTAGGGTTGAGGGAAAACCCTAACCCCAAGCCCTCAGCCCCAGAAACCCCAAAGGTTTTTCGAGCTTCCAAGTCTTTGTGTTGGCGAGGGCTGCCTGTAGTGGTTGAGGGCTGTAAGGCATTGTGGGTTCAACCTTTGGTGGGGTCTTGGGGCTTCGGGTTAGGGGTTTGGGTTTCTCCCTCATTCCTAAACTCGAACCTCTAAACCCTAAACCTCAAACCCCAAACCCGAAACCCGAAACCCTAAACTCTTAGTCTCGACTCTGGGAACTCGGTCTACGAGGCTCTGAAGGACCGGTGTTTTGTTTTTGTTGCTTCGCATGTGGGTTTTCAGTTTTGTTTTTTGAGCCCTGGCCGCGAGCTGAATCCTTCGAGGTGCGCCCTTCTGTTCTTCAGGGTTTAGGGTTTAGGGTTCAATCTCTGCCTTTTTTTTTCTTAACCCCTGCCGGCCAAAAGCCCAACGCGCAAAAGCTTTCCCCCCTTCAACCCGAAGGCTCCTACAACAACCCCAAGCCCTTGAACACCAAACCAAATCCCTAAACCCTAAACCCTAAAGCCTAAAGCCTAAACCCTAAACCCTAAAGCCTAAACCCTAAACCCTAAAGCCTAAACCCTAAACCCTAAACCCTAAACCCTAAGCCTTAAATCCTGTACCGTAAAGACTAATGTTGGGAGATCATCCTCTGCCTGCCTGACCTCACCCCAACATGCATCTTCTGATGAGCGGCTCTTGCTTCGTGGCGTTTAGGGTTTAGGGTTTAGGGTTTAGGGTTTAGAACCCAAAATTCCTTTAGGGTGTAGAGCCCAAAACCATTGCATCCTCCAGCCTGATTCTCCAGACTCTCGCTCAATGCAACCTAAGCCCATCCGATCCCCGAACGCCTAGGGCAGCCGTCGCCCCGTGTGCGGGTGCAGGGGCCGTGGGCCCAGCTTGCTCATCCCCAAACCCCTAAGCCCTGAACCCTAAACCCTGAACCCTAAACCCTGAACCCTAAACCCTAAACCCTAAACCCTACGGGCTTTCGGGGCTCAAGGTCTATTTGGGTTTCGGGTTTGGGGTTGCGGGTTTAGGGTGTTTTGGGAAGAGAAGGGCCTTGTAGGGGGAAGTGTAGGGAACCTGGCTGCCCAAGAACGCCCGCCCTAGAAGCCCCCAACCCTAAACCTTCGAAGCCCTAAGCCCTAAGCCCTACCTAAACCCCCAAACCTTAAGCCCTCAACCCTGACCCCAACGATCACTACAAGGTTTAGTGTTTAGGGCCAAACCCCCTGAACCCTAAACCCTAAGCCCTAAACCCCAACCCTAAACCCTAAACCCTATATAAGCCCTAAACCCTAAACCTCTCTTACCTTATATATTTAAACCTTAAGGTCATTCGTCGACAAGGCACAAGGCTTCGTCGACAAGGCCAATGTGCCTTGTCGACGAAACCTAGTGCCTTGTCGACGAAGCCTTGTGCCCTGTCGACGAAAACATTCAAGTTTCTAAGGCACAAGGCTTCGTCGAGAAGGCGCAAGGTTTCGTCGACCAGGCAAAATTAAGCCCTTAACCGTGACCCCAAGGATCACTATGAAGTTTAGGTTTAGGGCCCAACCCCCTGAACCCTAAACCCTAAACCCTAAACCCTAAACCCTAAACTCTAAACCCCAAACCCCAAACCCAAACCTCCCAACCCAGGCCAGCCCTGAACCTTACTGGACGCCCGACGTGGAGGCCTGCGCAGGTGTTGGTTTTGGAGTTTCTTTCAAGGTTTCTCTGGGGCTTCTGTAGAGCCCCTAAGCCCTAACCCCTAAACCCTAAACCCTAAACCCCAACCTCTAACTCTAAACCCTAAACCCTAAACCCTAAACCCTATACCCTAAACCCTAAACCCTAAGCCCTAAACCCTAAACCCTAAACCCTAAACCCTAAACCCTAAACCCTAAACCCTAAACCCTAAACCCTAAACCAGACAAGGTTTTTCTAGAGTCTGGCTTTCAAGGGCCTGAAGCTCTGGCAACCCTACCACTTACAAACGGTTGATCTTCACAAAGACCAAACCCTACAAAACCTTAAACTTTGCGTAAGGATCGTCTATGGAAGCTGCACAATGCTGCCCCTGCCTGCTTTTCGACCTACACATCTCGAGAATGCTTAGACCCAAAACCCCGAACCTCCTAATGGCGCCCACGAAGCCCTAAACCCTAAACCCTAAACCCTCAAAACCCTAAACCCTAAGCCCTAAACCCTAAACCTTAAACCCTAAATCCTAAACCCTCAACCCTCAACCCTCAACCCTCAACCCTCAACCCTACACCATCCCTCAGCAGGATGGAGAGTCCATCGAGCGCCCGGCTGGTGTCGCACTCCGCCCGCGCGCGCCTCAGCGTCCCTAAACCCCTCCCAGGCGTGAAGCATTTAGGGTTTAGGGTTTAGGTTTAGGGTTTAGGGTTTAGGGCTTAGGGTTTAGGGTTTAGGGTTTCGGGTTTAGGGTTTAGGGTTTAGGGTTTAGGGTTTAGGGTTTAGATAGGGCTTAGAACCCAGGCCTAAAAAAAAGGAGTCCTTTGGGATGCTCCCCCCTTATATTGTAGTAGGGGCGGTACTAAAAGTCCTCTTAAGAACGGTTAGTATGACGGGGAGATCCCAAGGAGCCCTACATAATTACCCATATGAAACAGGGCTTATATGACTGTTCTTGGTGAGTGTGTATAAGGTTCCTTTGGAATACTGGTGAGTGTATGTACCGGGTGTCCTTTTGGGGGTACAAGAAATACATACCCTACTTCATATGATTCCCGTCTACTCAGCATAGTTTTCTAAAAGTACACTGCGCAACTTCTCCTTCATAATCTAAACGGGCTCCCGAAATTATGCTGGCAACGTGTGGCCCTACCCTAAACCCTAAACCCTGTACCCTAAGCCCTGTACCGTTCCTAAACCCTAAACCCTAAACCCTAAACCCTAAACCCTAAACCCTAAACCCTAAACCCTAAACCCTAAACCCTAAATCCCCCTCAACCCCAAACCCCCCTCAACCCTAAATCCGAAACCCTAAACCTAAACCCTGCCAGGCCAGCCAATCCTGCTGCCAGCCAAGGGGTCTTGCCTGGCATTCTTTCGGGGGTCTGAGGGCCTTTAGCAGCAAGGCGGTGGTCTGGGTAGAGCCCTAAACTATTAAACCCAAAACCCGAAACCCTAAACCCTAAACCCTAGAATGTATCATCCTAAGCCTTAAGCCCGAACTCGAAGCCTCAACCAAAGAACCGCTGACTAAACCGATGTACACCTGAGTTGAAGCTCTGGGCAAGACCGGAGAGACCGGCTCGAGGTTCCTAAATCCTATCCCCTGAACCCTAAACCCTATGCCCTGAACCCTGTTTCTGTTTCTGTTTCGTTGTTGCTAGGTCCGTAGTGCGCGCATGAATTCTGCATTGCAAATCAAGCCACGGCGCTATAAGCACCAACACGAACGCCATCTTCCGTGGTCACGAAGTTGGAGGCTTGAAGTAGAGAAGCTAGTTCATTGAGATCAAGCCAGGGGTGCCGGTGACAGCTGATACTGCCCTCCGATTCACCACCAAACCTTCGAACCCAAACCAAGACAGATCTAAAGAACTGCTCAACGCCAACGTTGCTTCCACATGTGCTAGCAAACAAACAGAAAACATTCCATAAATGTGAAATATAGACATCAATAGAAAGTCAGAAATAGAATATATAAGTAGGTTATATGCATATAAATTTTCAGGATTTCGGGAAGGTCTGGGGGTGCTCGGGGGGCATCCGCAACAGCTATCAGTCAAGCTTTTCGAGCGTCTCCAGAATGGTTCGCGTGGCAGCGCGTGAAGCCCCCGAAACCGGATCCCTAAACCCTAAACCCTAGACCCTAAACCCTAGGCCCTAAACCCCAAACCCTAAACCCCAAACCCTAAACCCCAAACCCTAAACCCTCAACCCTAAACCCGAAACCGTAAGCCCTAAGCCCAAAGTGACCCCAAGCCAAGTGCTACAGCCAGGCCAGTGGTCGTGCAGCAGGCAACCTCCCCTTTGCAGGCTTCATGTGTTCCCCTACTACCCCCCTCTATAGTATGTTTAGGGTTTAGGGGGTTTAGGGTTTAGGGCTACTCCCCACCCTTAAAGAACCTCAATTAGGCTTCATTGTCCCTAAATAGCCTTGATTATGGGGGGAACCTAGGGGTAGTCTAGAGGCGGGTAGTAGGGGAACCCATGAGGGATGGGCATCAAATAGTCTGGGTGTTTTGGGTTGAGGCTTTAAGGTTCTTGAGGGAGGCAAAGCTTCCCTAAGGTTTTTCTAGGTGCCGACGCCCCATGACCTCCCCTCCCTGAAGGGCCCGATAGTGGATGAGCCAACACATGGCTCGGCTCAGCAGGCGTGTTCGGTTGCTCGTTTGGGGTTTAGGGCTTAGGGTTTAGGGTTTAGGGTGTAGGGTTTAGGGTTGTTTGCTCTTCTTGCTCTAGCAATTTGCAAGATGCTTCCTCTCCAGGTGTTTCAACGCAGTGCCAGTTCTGTTCCACAGTTCGTCTCCGAGCCGACTGCGTCGGAAACCCAGTTTCCTCTGCCTGAAGCGCAAACCCCAAACGACCCCAAACCCTAAACCCTAAACCCTAAGCCCTAAATCCTAAACCCCAAACCCCAAACCCTAAACCCTAAACCCTAAACCCTGAATCCTGAGCTCGAAGCCCTGAGCCGTAAGCCTTATCAGGGATAAAACTCTAAACCCTACGCAACCTGAACGCCCGAAGCCCTGAGCACCCTGACTGTTTGGGGGTTTAGGGTTTAGGGTTTAGGGTTTAGGGCACAGCCACCCGCAGACCTTCAAAAGAAAGGGTCTGATCCAATGCAAAAGCCTAAATAGAGTTGCCAAGATGATCAATAAACAAACATAGCACTACGCAAAGTAGCCCAAACCCCAAACCCCAAACCCCAAACCCCAAACCCCAAACCCCACACCCTCCACCCTAAGCCCTAAGCCCTAAACCCTAAACCCTAAACCCTAAACCCTAAACCCTAAACCCTAAACCCTAAACCCTAAACCCTAAACCCTAAACCCTAAACCCTACCCCAAGAGCCCGCTCTCCCATTGTGCACAACCCAAGGCCCGTGCCTCTCCGCCTTGCCCCTGCGGCGACCGTACCGCCACTCCCTGGGTACCAGGCAGGTTTAGGGTTTAGGGTTTAGGGTTTAGGGTTTAGGGTTTAGGGTTTAGGGTTTAGGGTTTAGGGTTGAGGGTTTCGGATTTCGGGTTTCGGGTTCGGGGTTTAGGGGCTTAGGGTTTGAGAGTTTGGGGTTTGAGGGCCCTAAGCCCTAAACCCTAAACCCTAAACCCTAAGCCCGAAACCCCACGCGCGCCAGGCGTGCAGTGGCGAGTTCCCTGTGGCCGCTGGCACCTCCCGAGTCAGGGCCCCTACACATTAGGGTTCGAGGTTTAGGGTTTAGGGTTTAGGGTTTAGGGTTTGGGGTTTGGGGTTTGGGGTTTGGGGTTTGGGGTTTGGGGTTTGGGGTTTAGGGTTTGGGTTTAGTGTTTGGGTCTAGGGTTTAGGGTTTTGGGGTTTAGGGTTTTAGGCTTTTAGGCTTTTAGGCTTTTAGGGTTTTAGGGTTTTGGGGTTTTAGGGTTTTAGGGTTTCAGGGTTTAGGGTTTAGGGTTTCAGGGCTTAGGGTCTGCGGGCTAGGGTTTAGGGGTCTAGGGCTTTAAGGGCTTTGAGGGCTTTAAGGGTCTTAAGGGGTGACCCCAGGCCCGCCCCTAAACATTGGGGTTTTGGGGATCTAGGGTTTGAAAGGTTAGGGTTCAGGGTTTAGGGTTTAGGGTTTAGGGTTTAGGGTTTAGGGTTTAGGGTTCATGGTTCAGTGTTCAGGGTGTGGGGCATAAGGGTTTAGGGCTCAGGGCTCCGGGCTTAGGGTTTAGGGTTTTGGGTGTAGGGTATGCAGTCTGCAGACCTGTGCTTCGTGCGCAGCGTCCTGTCGTCAGAACAGCCTAGAGCACATCCCTAAACAGTGCCCTCTAGTTTGGTAGCTTCCAAGCCTAAGCTGTTCTCTGCGAGGCCCTAAACCCCTACCCCCAAACCTTAAACTTTAAACCCTAAACCCCAAACCCCAAACCTTAAACCCCAAACCCTAAACCCTGAACCCTAAAACAGAAGACTCAAAGACGGAAGCACCGAAGGCTGAGATCCGAACAAACGTTCACCTGCCCGAGACCACAAAGGTTCCCTGACCCGTGCCCTGAAACCCCCGGAATAGGGATCAGGGTTGAGGGTTTATGGTTTGGGGTTTAGGGTTTGGGGTTTAGGGTTTAGGGTTTAGGGTTTAGGGTTTAGGGTTTCGGGTTTCGGATTTCGTTTCAGGGCTTGTTTAGGGCTGTTCACTGAGGCCTCCTCCTCGGGCTGCCCGCCGCAGGCCTGACCTTCCCAAAGCTTGCTGCTAAGGGGGGTTTAGGGTTTAGGGTTTAGGGTTTAGGGTTTAGGGTTTAGGGTTTAGGGTTTAGGGTTTAGGGCTTAGGGTTTAGGGTTTAGGGCTTAGGGCGCTTTTGGGGCTTGCACCCGCAAAGCCCTAAACAACCCTAAGCAAGCGTGACAAGCCCTAGTAAAACCCAACAGACCCTGCAACCCCCATAAGACCCTGAGACGTTTGCGGTTCAGGGTTGAGGGTTTAGGGTTTAGGGTTTAGGGTTTAGGGTTCAGGGTTGAGGGTTGGGAGGGCCTGGGGTTCAGCGCATGGTACACGTGTGTGGCTTTGGATCACCGTGGTTGTGTCTATGGTGAGCACTACCGTCATCGTTCCTGTTTGCAACTCCGCCAAGTACATGCAACGGCGCTCGTGCCAGCTTTGCCTTGAACCCTACACCCCTAAACCCCAAGCCCTAAACCCCAAACCCCAAGCCCTAAACCCCAAACCCTAAACCCTAAACCCCAAACCTGAAACCCGAAACCCTTAACCCTAAACCCTAAACCCTAAAACCCGAAACCCCTAAACCCTAAATCCTTCAAGCAGGCTTTACCTGGCGGGGAGGAGTCAGAGCAGCTGGCAGTCCTGGAAAGGCTGAAGGTGCCCAGCACATGCAAGAAACTCTCCTCCCTAAATCCTCAACCCTACATGTAGGGTTTAGGGTTTTAGGGTTTTAGGCTTTCAGGGCTTTATGTTTGGGGCTTAGGGCCCCACATTCCCCAAAACCCTAGACGGTTTGGAATTGGGGCTTTCCTGAATTTCATGATTCCGGGGATTCATGGGTCCAATATGGGTTCAGCTGGGCTTCCTGTGCAGATCCGAGCTGAGGCAGATAGGAGTTCCGATGTTCCGAAGCCCTAGCTCGGTGTTAGCATAATGTGTTGGCAAGGTTTTTTTTTTTTTAGTAGGGTTCAGGGTTTAGGGTTTAGGGTTTAGGGTGTAGGGTTTAGGGTTTAGGGTTTAGGGTTTAGGGGTGCTAGTATGTATATGTCAAAGTGTGCCAGACTCCTCTTGGATAGAGCGCGGTTCCTCTCACCCATGCAAGCAGCCACCCACACACGACCCGTTTGGTGTCGATAGAAAGATGTGGACCAGCACAGCAACCCACAAAGGCGAACATTGGTGTGGGCTACCTAGCACGAAACTTGCCGAGACAAGAAGGCTTCAAACCAAACCATTAGCCGAAACTTTCCGCAGTTGACCACTTCAGTCAGTTCCGCTAACAATTAAGAAGCCCTTCGCTATACTAGGTGCAGGGTTGCTTGGAGGTTCATCGTACTTCTGAACCAATTATCACTGCACTTACAATTGTACTTAGATGGCACCACACTTAGGGGGCCAATAAGTGGGTTATAAGTGCAGTTATACTTGGTGAGTAAGTACCATGAACCTCCAAGTGGGACTTGATGGATTGGGGAGGTACTGCTGTCAGACCCCAGCGTTGTGGCCAACACATTGCAATCCTGCTTCGCGCCGGCCTCATGTTGATGTCCCCACTTACTCGGCCCGTTCGATTGGGGACGTGAGGGTAATGGCTGGGGACGTGAGAGTAGTATAGGGGTCGGAATGAATACTTTGTAAATTCCCTTCTGGTCCCTATATGATGATACTATAAGAACCCCCCCCAAAGCCCTGGTCTAATTATTAAGGCCCCTACGTTACTCCCTTTTGTGTGACTGTCAGGTCAAAACTGGGCATGACAGGATGAGGGAGCGATGTGTGCGCAGACAGCGAGTCTGGGAGCTTGCCTTCCTCATACCTAAACCCTAAACCCTAAACCCTAAATCCTAAACCCTAAACCCTAAACCCTAAACCCGAAGGGTTAAACCCTAAACCCTAAACCCTAAACCCTAACCCTAAACCCTAAACACTATCTTTCTGGACCTCTGCATATAGGGCATTAGGGAACTATAGAACCTCTTCGTGAGGGTGGTATTTATTATATACATTTTATATCTATACATATACAAAATAGGATCATGGGCTCCCTCTTGTTCCCAAATTCCCTACGAAGAACCAGCAAGGCTCATCAACAGTAGGTCCTAAACAGCCAAAACCCAAAACGCAAACCCCTAAACCCCAAACCCCAAACCCCAAACCCTAAACCCTAAACCCTAAACCCTAAACCCTAAACCCTAAACCCTAAACCCTAGACCCTAAACCCTAAACCCGAAACCCTAAACCCTAAACCCTAAACCCTAAACCCTACAAAGCCCCACACCGAAGCCTTGGGGACTCAAGGAGGCGGCCGGAGGAAGCCCTCACGGAAGCGTGCGGGGAGCTTGGTGCTCCAGGGAGCCCTGAACCCTAAACCCTAAACCCTAAACCCTAAACCCTAAACCCCAAACCCTAAACCCTAAACCCTAAACCCTAAACCCTAAACCCTAAACCCTGTGGCCCTCAAGGGATTTAGAATTTGAGTAGGCGTTTCAACGCTTTAGGCTTCTTGGGTTGAGGGTTTAGGGCTTTTGGGCTGAGTAGGCTGTCGGCCTAGGGTTTAGGGTTTAGGGTTCAGGGTTTCGGGTTTGGGGGTTTTGGGGGTCCGCGACCCGTACCAAGGGTTCGAATCACGGGTGCTGCCCCATAGGCCGTGCCATGCAGCTATACGAGCGCTGTGCACGGCCCACACTATGCTGTCCGCCGCCCAGCCAAGTGGGTTTGGGGAGGGGTTTGGGGGGGGGGGGGGGGGTTAGGGGGCGGTTCGTTTGCAGGCGGGAATTTTTGGCATCTAAACACAGTCTTTAGGGTTTGGGGTTTCGGGTTGAGGGCCCAATCACTGAACTTCAACCCCTAAACCCCAGAACACCGAATCCCAGAGCCTGCCTATACAACCCCTGAAACCCTTAAACCGTTAAACCCTTAAACCCTAACTCCTAAATCTTAAGCCTTGAACCCTTAAACCCTTAAACCCTCAAAAACCCTTAAACCCTTAAACCCTTAAACCCTTAAACCCTTAAACCCTTAAACCCTTAAACCCTTAAACCCTTAAACCCTTAAGCCCTTAAACCCTTAAACCCTTAACCCCTCAGATCCTAAAACCTTCAACCCTTCAAGGTGGCTTTCGGGTTCCCTAAGCCCGAAACCCTAAGCCCTAAGCCCTAAGCCCTAAGCCCTAAGCCCTAAGCCCTAAGCCCTAAGCCCTAAGCCCTAAGCCCTAAGCCCTAAGCCCTAAACCCCAAATCTGGGCTTCTGGGCTTCGAGGCTTCTCGACCCTAAGCCCGGGAGCCGAAACCCAAACAAGCCCTCAACCCGAAAGCCCGCGCGCTTCCCTAAACCCTAAACCCTAAACCCTAAACCCTAAACCCTAAACCCTAAACCCTAAACCCTAAACCCTAAACCCTAAACCCTAAACCCTAAACCCTAAACCCTAAACCCTAAACCCTAAAGCCCGCGCGCTTCCGCGAGCTGTCACCCTCAGGCTGGCAGGCCTGCCCTCCACGTGCATTAGTGAAGCAAGGTGGTCGGGCGCTGAGCATGCTTAGGGTTTAGGGTTTAGGGTTTAGGGTTTAGGGTTTAGGGTTTAGGGTTTAGGGTTTAGGGTTTAGGGTCTAGGGTCTAGGGTCTAGGGTTTAGGGGGTGTTGGTGGTTAAGGGGTTCGGGAGTTTGGCTGCGTGTTTTTGGGCTGGACTTAGAGGGTTTAGGATTACCGTCTAGGCTCTAGGGCGCGGCTGAATGTCTTAAGACCTTAGCCGAAAAGCCCCGAAGCCCAAGACCCTAAACCCTAAACCCCAAACCCTAAACGCTAAACCCTAAACCCTAAACCCTAAACCCTAAACCCTAAACCCTTAAAAACCCTCAAAGGCCCTCAACCCCTTAGGCCCTCAACCCTTCAAGACCGCCTCCGCAAGCAACCACTTGGAGGTTCATGGTACTCATCAACCAATCACTGCACTTATAGAGCCCCTCAAAGTGCCCCAATATGGTCATACCCCTAAACCCTAAACCCTAAACCCTAAACCTAGTTATAAGTACAGTTCTAATTGGGTAATAAGTACAGTTACAATTGGGTAATAAGTGCAGTTCTGATTGGGTAATAAGTACCATGAACCTCCAAGTAGGGGCTCAGTGTGCAGCTGAAAGGTGGAGGGTTAGTTACCCTAAACCCTAAACCCTAAACCCTAAGCCCTAAGCCCTAAGCCCTAAGTGTGAAACCAGAAGGTGAATGCTGAGCGTCAGCAGCGCGAGCACGCACAAATCGAGAAGTATTGCCATTGCGGCGACGATACATAGAAGATTAGCATGGCCAAACGTGCTGTTTGGCTCAAGGCGCACGGGTTTCTTCTGCTCTGTGAGGAGAAAAGAGCGATGCCGCTCCTTCCAGTTTCACATTGGTAGCGGAGCCTCGGGGCCGTTCCCGGGGTTCATGTCGGTCCTGGCGCTGTGTGTCAGCATCCTTGTTTACGTCGTCGAGCTTTGCGAACTCCAGGAAACTTCTCTGCTGTTAGACCGTGCTCTGGGTTGGAGATCTTTTGGTTTGGCGCCGTCGAGCGCTACTTTGTCTCCTTCGTCTTTAGATTGTGCTCTGAGGCGGAGATCTTTTGGTTTGGCACCGTCGAGTGCTACTTTGTCTCCTTCGTCTTTAGATTGTGCTCTGAGGCGGAGATCTTTTGGTTTGGCACCGTCGAGTGCTACTTTGTCTCCTTCGTCTTTAGATTGTGCTCTGAGGCGGAGATCTTTTGGTTTGGCACCGTCGAGTGCTACTTTGTCTCCTTCGTCTTTAGATTGTGCTCTGAGGCGGAGATCTTTCGGTTTGGCACCGTCGAGTGCTACTTTGTCTCCTTCGTCTTTAGATTGTGCTCTGAGGCGGAGATCTTTTGGTTTGGCACCGTCGCGTGCTACTTTGTCTCCTTCGTCTTTAGATTGTGCTCTGAGGCGGAGATCTTTTGGTTTGGCACCGTCGAGTGCTACTTTGTCTCCTTCGTCTTTAGATTGTGCTCTGAGGCGGAGATCTTTCGGTTTGGCACCGTCGAGTGCTACTTTGTCTCCTTCGTCTTTAGATTGTGCTCTGAGGCGGAGATCTTGTGGGTTGGCTCCATTGTGTGTCGCTGTTACCTGCGCAACTGCGTGCTTTACAAGTACGTCCTCTCGGCAGGCATCGTTTACAACAACCTCGGTGGCAACTTCGCCCGCTGCGGCACGACCATCTCGTTTGTCGACATCGTCTACGACGAGGTTGCTCACGCCAGTATCCTTCCAAAGTATGCCGTCGATGTCATTAATATGTACGTTCTCAAGATGTGCGTGCGCGCCCTTTACGAGTACATCTTCAACGACGTCACCTTCTTCCAATGAAACATCCACATCGAGATTCTGCGCGACCACATCTTGTACCCCGCTGTCCTTTGCTGACACTTCAGCAGCGTCTACTACGGCAGCTACATCCTTGACGGGGGCGTCCGCGACGACCGCATCATCTACATCCACATGGTCGACTACCGCGTCCTCTACGTCAACCTCATCCACTACCACATCGTGTACGACCACATCACCATCGACTTCGAGAGTGGCTTCTACAAGTGCGTCGTCTACAACGCTGTCCTTCGCAACCGGTTTGTCAGCGGCACAAAGCTCTTCAGGAGCATCTTTTGCCTCCACGATCTCATGTTGCGCTGCCACACTTTCCTCGGCGACATTCCCCACGACGACATCTTCTACATTGTCAAGCCCTGGCCTGGCCTGCAGAAAAGGGGGGACTGTTTTTGAACCAGTGTGAAACCAGAAGGTGAATGCTGAGCGTCAGCAGCTCGAGCACGCACAAATCGAGAAGTATTGCCATTGCGGCGACGATACATAGAAGATTAGCATGGCCAAACGTGCTGTTTGGCTCAAGGCGCACGGGTTTCTTCTGCTCTGTGAGGAGAAAAGAGCGATGCCGCTCCTTCCTGTGAAACCAGAAGGTGAATGCTGAGCGTCAGCAGCTCGAGCACGCACAAATCGAGAAGTATTGCCATTGCGGCGACGATACATAGAAGATTAGCATGGCCAAACGTGCTGTTTGGCTCAAGGCGCACGGGTTTCTTCTGCTCTGTGAGGAGAAAAGAGCGATGCCGCTCCTTCCAGTTTCACACTAAGCCCTAAACCCTAAACCCTAAACCCTAAACCCTAAACCCTAAACCCTAAACCCTAGACCCTATAATGCAGGTGTAGCCTGCTGAAACGTGCGGGCATCTACTCACCGGAGGCGCGGGGCTGGGAGTTTGGGGTTCTCGGTCAGGGTTTCAGTGGAACTCAAGGGGCTTTTTTCAGGGGTTTTTAGGGGGGGTTTAGAGTTTCGGGCTGAAGTCTTTGGTGATTTGGGGTTCTGCTGCTATTTTTCCGAAGCCACCTGCCTCACTTGCCTTTCCATGGGGGAAGCGTGGTCATGATGCTGCAGATGCAGGGCTTTCGCCATAGCGTCATGATGCTGCCTCCTGCCTCACGTGCTCGTCCTTGCTGGAGTGCGGGGGTCATGATGCTGCTGACGCAGGGTTTGTTGTGCCCGAGTCGCTTGCTTTTCCATGTGGGAACGTGGGGGTCATGATCTCAAGAGCCCACCCCCCAAAAAAAAAAAGAAAACAAGCCTTCCTTGTAAGGGCAATATAGGGATCATTTTGTCTTTGTTTTTGGGGGACCCCCCTGCTTTACTTGCTTGATTATAGGTGGGGGGTGCAGGGCCCGGGTGGGGGCAGGCAGTTGAAACTCGGGCAGAAGCTCATGATGGTCTAGGTTTAGGGTTCAGGGTTTAGGGTCTTTGACGCACGACCGGTTAGGCAGCTGATGCTCATGCCGCTGGTTTCTTTGATGCAGGGAGTTCGCTTTCGCCTGATGGTCCCCAACGCCCTCTATTCAAGTCAAGAGTTCAAGAACCCTGAGCCCTAAATGGGGGTTTACGAGAATAAGGGACCCTTAACATAGACCCCCAAATAGCAGGATTCCCTTCTAATAAGGACCCCAAGAAGGTACCCCGAATTGCGGAAACCCACAAACAGGATCCGGTCACGCTGGACCAGATGCGTGAGGTGCAGGCTGGGTTTGTTCTCGGGGTTGTTCGGTTGTTGTTTTTTGGGGGGGCCCTCGTAGGTCATTCAATTTTTTCGGGTGTTGCGGGTTGTGGTTTGGGATGTTCCCCCTTATTCTAACAGTCGGGAAGAGGGATTCCAGTAGGGGGTACTACAATCCCTATTAAGGACTGTTAGTATAAGGGGGAGCATCCCAAGTTGTGGGTTTTTTTTTTGATAAGGGGGGCCCTGTCATTGCTGGGTTTCAGGAGCCACAGGCGGCATGTTCTGCCCGATCTTCAAGCCAAGCGGGGCTTGCCTTGGCTCCAGCTGAGACATGAGGGACATGAGAACCGTCGCAACGCCAAGAAGCTACCCAAGAGAGGACGGGTGAGCACGGCAGACGAACCGGCCTGCTGTAGAAACCTCCTCAAGTCTAACCCTAGCCAACAACATGAAGCCAGCAATGTGAAGCCAAGAATATGAAGCCAACGTGCTGACTCCGGCTGTCTTGGGGGGATGTCGAGTAGAGGGCCTGGGCGCTGGGCATGGCTGCTCTTGCCGGGGCTTTGGGTCTGCTGCCAGTTTCCTTCGTGGCTGCTGGGCTTCATCGGCGCGGCCGCGCGGAAGCCTGACTGGACCAGACGCGGGCGCAGCGCGCGGGGAGACGGCGCGCAGGACCGCGACTGGAGCCTCACGATTACCCCGGAGGAGGCTGCGGCCGGCTTGACCCAGACGACCATGGCTTCGGCCGCCGTGCTCCTGAACTCAACAGGCTTCGTGGTCTTGCGGGGCGCGTCCTTGTTTACCGAGGAGGAGCTGACTCTCGCCCAGGGCACGGCGGAAATCCAGCTGGGACGGGTGCAGGCTGCCGCGGAGCGGCTCAACTTGCTGGAGAGGGCGCCCTGGGTCAAGGGACACGACACCCGCAAGCTGTTTGAGTTCCAGGAAGCCAAGAACCCCAAGAACCCTAAACTCCATCCCCCCAACCTGTGTCTCGATGCTGATGCGTGGTTTTTTCTTTGTTGTTTTCTGCTTTTTTTTTTTTGGGGGGGGGGGAGGGGCTTGCATGTAGGGGCCAGAATCCTCAAACCCTCAACCCTATCACCAGGAAGCCAAGAGCCCTACAAACGCTCTAAGCACTAAAGCCCGAACCCTCAACCCCAAACCCTATGCCCCAAACCCCAAAACTCTGAACCTGGGATGTTCCCCCGGTCTTTAAAACCCCCTAAAGAAAGACAATAGCCCTAAACCCTAAACCCTAAACCCTAAACCCTAAACCCTAAACCCTAAACCCTAAACCCTAAACCCTAAACCCTAAACCCTAAACCCTAAACCCTAAACCCTAAACCCCAAACCCTAAACCCTAAACCCTAAACCCTAAACCCTAAACCCTAAACCCTAAACCCTAAACCCTAAACCCTAAACCCCCCAGAAAACCACAGGAGGCCTTGTCCTACTCACAGGGCCGCCTGGACTTGCCCCAGCTGATTGGAGTCCCCGAGCTTCAGAGCTCAAGGTGGATGGGAGGGGGTTTGAAGAGTTTGAAGGGTAGGGTTTAGGGTTTAGGGTTTAGGGTTTAGGGTTTAGGGTTGAGGGTTTAGGGTTTAGGGTTTAGGGTTCAGGGTTCAGGGTTTAGGGTTTAGGGTTTAGGGTTTAGGGTTTAGGGTTTAGGGTTTAGGGTTTAGGCTTTATAGGGTTCAGAACCCTGAACCCTAAACCCTATAGACCTTATAAACCCTAAACCCTAAACCCAAAACCCAAAACCCTAAACCCTAAACCCTAAACCCTAAACCCTCAACCCTAAACCCTAAACCCTCAACCCTAAACCCTAAACCCTGAACCCTAAACCCTAAACCCTAAAACCGCCAGGTGGTGCAAACATCCAAGCCTCCGGGGTATTGCGGAGAGTGTTTTTGGCCAGCCTTGCGAGCAAAGCGTGCTGGGAGCCCTCTGGAATTTCCCCGGCTCCGGCCCGCCGGTGTGGCCCCGCGCTCGCCATTTGGAAATGACTTTGGGCTTTCGGCTTTGGGGGAGAAACCCTAAACCCCTAAACCCCCAAACCCCGAACACCTAAGCCCCATAACCTCAAAACCCTAAACCCGAAACCCCAAAACCCCAAAACCCAACACCCCAAACCCCAAACCCCAAAACCCCTAAACCCTAAACCCAAAACCCCAAAACCCCCAAACCCTAAACCCCAAAACCCCCAAACCCTAAACCCTAAACCCAAAACCCCTAAACCCAAAACCCCTAAACCCCCAAACCCCCAAACCCCTAACCCCAAACACTCAAAACCCTAAAAGTTGAAGCCGACGCACCCTAGGCATAGGGATGGCTTCGACAACCCCTTGCTGGTGGCGGTGACAGCCGCATGCGCCTTGGGAATCATCCCTAAACCTTAAACCCTAAACCCTAAACCCTAAACCCTAAAACCCTAAACCCCCAAACCCTAAGCCCTAAACCCCAAAACTCCAAACCCTAAACTCCAATAACCCTAAACCCTAAAACCCTAAACCCTAAAACCCTAAACCCTAAACCCTAAAACCCTAAACCCTAAACCCCCTGAACCCCCTGAACCCTGCCCTTCAGGTGAGTATCCCAACACCGTGGGCTTCATCCACGGGCAGCCGCAGTCCCACATGGGCGCGCGCTTCGCCGACTCCGAGGGGCTCAAGGTGGGGTTTAGGGTTTAGGGTTTAGGGTTTAGGGTTTAGGGTTTAGGGTTTAGGGTCTAGGGTGTAGGGCTTTAGGGGTTAGGGTGTAGGGTTTTAGGGGCTTAGGGTTTAGGGTTTTGGGGTTTGGACTTTTGGGTGTAGGGTTGATAAGGGCTTAGGGTTTGAAAGCCCGAAACCCCTAGGACCTCTAAAGGCGTTGAACCACTAGAGCCCTGCAAACCCTAAACCCTAAACCCTAAACCCCAAACCCCAAACCCCAAACCCCAAACCCCAAACCCCAAACCCCAAACCCTAAACCCTAAACCCTAGACCCTAAACCCTAAACCCTAAAGAATCCTCAGGCACCGAGCAGTTCTCGAGGCGAGGTCGATGTTCCGCTGCCGCTGAGAAGAGGCCCCCCAAGTTGCCCATCTCCTTTGGCTTCAGGGTTTGGGGTTTAGGGTTTAAGGTTTAGGGTTTAGGGTTTAGGGTCTAGGGTTTAGGTTAGGGTTTAGGGTTACCGCCAAGCTACACTCGGTAAAGCCCTGCCAACAGATAACCCCCCCTGAACCCAAACCTTCAGCCCTCAACCCTGAATCCCCCAAGCTCATCGGCCCCTACTTCCAGGTTCATGGTACTTATTCACCAGTTAGAACTGTAGTTATAACCCACTTATGAGCCCTTAAGTGCCCAAATATGGTTGTCAGTACAGTTAAAGGACAGTTACAACTGGTTAATAAGTACCATGTACTGCCTTGAAGCTGTTGCGGGTCGGTGGCAAGCCCTCCAACTCCCTAAACCCTAAACCCTAAACCCTAAACCCTAAACCCTAAACCCTAAACCCTAAACCCTAAACCCTACACCCTAAACCCTAAACCTTAAACCCTAAATCCTAAACCCTAGACCCTAAAGCCTAAACCCTAAACAGGTGAGACGCTCCTCTTCTTCTACACCACCAAGCATCCTCGAGTTCGGTTTTAGCGTTGTTTTTGTCCCTGAGCCCACAAGCCTGAGACCTTATGTGGGTTGGTGGTCTCTTTAAGTAGGGTTTCTGTGTCATAGGGCATATATTCGGGGTCCTTAGTAGGGTTTGTTTAGCTGAGACCTGATTGCCCTTGAAAGCGCGCAATTTCCATCGACCAACTCGTTTCTCCAAACTTTCGAGGGCTTCTAAGGACATATCCCCATAAACCCTAAACCCTATAAACCCTTTAAATCCTAGTAAACCCTATAAATCCTAGCAAAACTTATAAACCCTAATAAACCTACAAACCCTATAAACCCTATAAACCCCTCACAACCCCCATAAAACCCTACATAAAGATCTCAATGCCCAAGGCATGCCGCTACTCCCAACCTCAGCGACCGCGACCGGTGTCTCCTGTACAGCGTTCACGGGCCAGTCGGGGTAAGGGACGCGCACAACCACAAGGAGGGTTGAGGGTTTAGGGTTTATGTAGGGTTTAGGGTTTAGGGTTTAGGGTTTAGGCTGTAAGGTTTCTGGGGTTAGAGGACTAGCAATCCTGGCTTAGTGTTTAGGGTTTAGGGTAGGCCCTCACATCCCTGAACAGCCAAGCTCTTCAACCCCCAACCCAGCACCCTCAAGCGCATGGACCCTTTCGAGGACTTCTTGCCCTCCATCTTCACACTAACACCTGAGGAGGCACGAAATCTGGATGCCTTCTACCGGCGCCACTTAGGGTTCTAGGGCTGGGGCGCTGAGCTTCAGGTTCGCAGGTTCCACCTGCTGCGGCCAGGAGCGGGGGTGGAAAAAAATTGGCAAAGAGGCTCATGTCCTGTGTCCTGTAAACCGAAGACCCTGCGTCCAATCCCTAAACCCTTGTAAAAGCCCTGTAGTCCGACGCGGCCGCTAGTATGATTCGACCCTGTATCAACCCTACAGCCGCAACACCCAAAGCAGCATACCCCCAGGCTTTTCAAGGGGACAGAGGTGATGAGAAGCATCCTTCGAACCAAGTCCTCAAGGCCTAATAAGCCTGAATCCTGAACCCTACACCTTTTGAGAGAGGTCTGGGAACGGTGAGTGTAGGGGCAAAACCGCGACAACGTGCCGGGATAAAGCCTAAGCCTACACACTAACACTAGACCCCAAACCCTAAACCCCAAACCCCAAACCCCAAACCCTAAACCCTAAACCCTAAACCCTAAACCCTAAACCCGAAACCCTAAACCCTAAACCCTAAACCCTAAACCCTAAACCCTGCTTTTTTCAATAAGCCCTCTTGAGACCTCAACGGAGGCTCAAACTCTAGGGGCCCTACGCGACTGCTTCGCGCCCAAGCAGCTCCTGAGGCCGGAGCTCAGGGCCTTTTAGGCCTAAGCCCTAAACCCTAAACCCTAAACCCTAAACCCTAAACCCGAAACCCTAAACCCTAAACCCTAAACCCTAAACCCTAAACCCTAAACCCTAAACCCTAAACCCTAAACCCTGAACCCTGAACCCTGAACCCTAATCCCTGAACCCTGAACCCTGAACCCTAAATCCTAAACCCTAAACCCTAAAACGCTAAACGAGTTGCAGGGCTTCGGGGTGTAGGGCGCCGGAGGATGCCTAAGGTTCAGGGTATGGGGTGTAGGACTTAGGGTGTCTGAGGATGCTCAAGGTCTAGCTAACCCTGAAGCCTGAGCTCTGGGTTTAGGGTTTAGGGTTTAGGGTTTGGGGTTTAGGGTTTAGGGCTACGATTCAGGGTTTAGGGTTTTGCCCTAAACCCAGACACCAGCGCCGAGTAGGCGGAGTACCCTGAACCCCAAACCCTAAACCCTAAACCCTTGCCTCCAACCCGAAGCAGCACGTGCCAGGAGCATGCGTCGGGTAGCTCGTGCAGAGCCCCGCTTGAAGGAGCAAGGGCTTTCAGGGCTTAAGAGGAAGTTGAGGGCATATTGTTGGGGCAACCCTAAACCCTAAACCCTAAACCCTAAACCCTAAACCCTAAACCCAAAACCCTAAACCCTAAACCCTAAACCCTGAACCCTAAACCCTAAACCCTAAACCCTGAACCCTAAACTGTAAACTCGGGTTCATGGACTTGCTTCAGGATTTTGGGGTGGAAGGGTTCTGATGGGTTGGCTTTCAGAACGACAGCCCTGGCAGGACCGATATGAATCCTTCGAGTTTCGCGCGAAAGGCGCTCTGGGCAAGGCGCGTGTGTGTGGGCAGATGCTGGGGTCTGGCTTTTTCCGTGGCTCCCAACCCCGACACTCCAAACCACCAGCCCAATAAGAACAAACACACGCGCGTGCGCACGCGCAGGCGCAGAGACACACAGAGACAAACGGAGACACACAGAGACACACAGAGACACACAGAGACACAGAGAGACACACAGAGACACACCGAGACACATAGAGACACATAGAGACACATAGAGACACATAGAGACACATAGAGACACGCAGTCTCACCGAGACCCAGACACGCAGACACCGACACCCACACCTGCACGTACATGTGCATGCACGCACGCCAGAACCCTAAAGCCCAAGCCGTGAACCCTACACATCCTCGGGCTCAAGTCCAGCACAAAAAAACTCCGAACTCTGCATCCTGAAGCCCAAAGCCCTCAACCCCGAAAGCCCTAAATGCAGGGTTTAGGGGTCAGGATGTCGGATGTAGGGTTTCGGGTTTGGGGTTTAGGGATTTTGGGATTCGCTGGGAGGTATACAGATGTCGCCACATCCAGTCGCAGACCTTCGTGGAAGTTCGGCAGATCCGCAAAGACAAGGTGTTCAACTTGGCGAGCTTAAAAGGGGTTTAGGGTTTAGGGTTTATTTAGGGTTTACGATTTATGGTTTTGGGTTTGGGGGAAGTGGTTGGGGCGAATTCTCTTGACTTAAAGGACCTTACGGAGATGCCTTCTAATTGATGGTCGCCGTGCACTGATCGGCTCGGGAATCTGGCTTGCCCGAAAAGATGCGCAAAATCGACGATGCCAGACCTCTACGCGAGTTGCAGCCCCAACCCCGAAAGCCCAAGCCCTAGACCCAAAACGAAACCCCTCAACCCTCAACCTATAAGCCCCCAAAGCCTGACCCACCCCACCCCTTCCGCCACAAGAACGAGACCGAGGCGTCGGCGCCCATGGACTTCATCCGAACGAGCAAGCGCCCCAGACGACTGGTTTAGGGTTTAGGGTTTAGGGTTTAGGGTTTAGGGTTTAGGGTTTAGGGTTTAGGGTTTAGGGTTTAGGGTTTAGGGTTTAGGGTTTAGGGTTTAGGGTTTAGGGATTGTCCGGCACAGCGTGTTCATCAGGTTCGGGTTTGAGGGTGTAGGGTTTGGGGCTGACGGGCTTTGGATTTTGAGGGTTTTGGGGTTTAGGTTGTTTTTGCAGTCCATAGGGTTCAGAATTCGGGAGTATTCTTTGGGGGGGTTCAGTTCAGATCTAGACTTAATCTTGGTGTTCCAGCATTGAGGCTGAGGGCTAAGATTTGCATAGCACGACGGCCCAGATGTAGGCCAGCAGCCAACACGGGTTATAGGGTTCTTAAGGGAGGGTTTAGGGTTTAGGGTTTAGGGTTTAGGGTTCGGGGTTTAGGGTTTAGGGTTTAGGGTCCAGGGTTTAGGGTGCTTGAGCCCACGAGTGTTTGTTGGATGGTCTGGAGAGAGGACTTAAACCCTAAACCCTAAACCCTAAACCCTAAACCCTAAACCCTAAACCCTAAACCCTAAACCCTAAACCCTAAACCCTAAACCCTAAACCCTAAACCCTAAACCCTAAACCCTAAACCCTAAACCCTAAACCCTAAACCCTAACCCTAAACCCTAAACCCTAAACCCTAAACCCTAAACCCTAAACCCTAAACCCTAAACCTAAACCTAAACCCTAAACCCTAAACCCTAAACCCTAAACCCTAAACCCTAAACCCTAAACCCTAAACCCTAAACCCTAAACCCTAAACCCTAAACCCTCAACCCTAAACCCTCAACCCTAAACCCTAAACCCTAAACCCTAAACCCTAAACCCTAAACCCTAAACCCTAAACCCTAAACCCTAAACCCTAAACCCTAAACCCTAAACCCTGACATGTCTTGGCACGACTGTGATCCTATGCGCGCGACCACAGTGTCCTCGCAGATCCCGAGCCCTCAGCCCCAAAAGCTCGGTTGATGGAGTTAGGGTTTAGGGTTTAGGGTTTAGGGTTTAGGGTTTAGGGCTGAGGGTTTACTTTGGGGCTGAGTGTTGCGAGGTTGGGTTTCGGTTTTGGGGTTGCTTTTGGACCCCCTTTTCAACCCTAAACCCTACAACCCTAAACCCGCCTAAGCCCTAAACCCTAAAAGGCCCAGACCTGAAGATTTTAAGCCCCAACACCGAAAAGCCAGGAGCCCTAAACCCTAAACCTAAACCCTAAACCCTAAACCCTAAACCCTAAACCCTAAACCCTAAACCCTAAACCCTAAACCCTAAACCCTAAACCCTAAACCCTAAACCCTAAACCCTAAACCCTAAACACTAAACACCTAAACCCTAACACCCAACTATTTCTCCTGGGAGGCCTACAGCGGATCACGGAGCTGCAGCATCCCTGCATGCCGCGGGTCCTCGATTGCCTGGAGGCGGCCGTGGGTTAGGGTTCAGGGTTCAGGGTTTAGGGTTTAGGGTTTAGGGTTTAGGGTTTCGGGTTTAGGGTTTAGGGTTCAGGGTTTAGGGTTTAGGGTGTTGCAGTTTAGGGTTGAGGGTTGAGGGTTCAGGGTTTAGGGTTTAGGGTTCAGGGTTGAGGGTTGAGGGTTGAGGGTTTAGGGTGTTGCAGTTTAGGGTTGAGGGTTTAGGGCTTAGGGCTTAGGGCTTAGGGTTTAGGGTTTAGGGTTCAGGGTTTAGGGTTTAGGGTGTTGCAGTTTAGGGTTGAGGATTGAGGGTTCAGGGTTCAGGGGTTTAGGGTTTAGGGTTCAGGGTTCAGGGTTTGGGGTTTGGGGTTTTGGGTTTATAGCTTATAGGGTTTAGGGTTTTGGGTTGGGATGCCGTGGGGTGTTGGGGGCTTTCGGGGCTTTCGGGGTTTCGGGTGGTTCAAGGCCTGATTCAAGGGCTGAAGGGACACCACCTTTCGCAAGTCTCTGCAAGGAACCCGCAGTCGCATGCTCTCAGCCCCACTCGTCCTCCGGTCCTCAACCCTAAGCCCTAAACCTAAAGCCTAAACCCAGCCCTAAACCCTAAACCCAAACCACACCGGAAACCCTGAGCCCTAAACCCCGAGCCCCTGCCCGGCCCTCCCCCCATCGCAGGACTTCAGGAACTTCTTCGTCGTCTCGGAGCCTGTCGAAGGCACGGAGGCCCCCTGGCCCAGAAGGTCTGGCAGGACGTGATCTGTAAGCCTAAACCCTAAACCCGAAAGCCTAAACCCAAAACCCCCTAAACCCTCAACCCTGCACCCCATAAGCTGGGAATCATCGAGTTTACGGGGGTCTGGGTTTATGTCCCCGGCCTGGTTGAGACCGTGGAACTCTGCGTCAGGCAAGAACAGGTTTCGGGTGCAGGGCTTAGGGAGAATGATTCCAAAGCCCCCACGCAGCCCTGAAACTGGCGCATGGCCCATGATTCTGAAATCTCAGGTCATGGACTTCATGCAGAACTCCTTCGTCCGTGGCAACAGCGTATCTGAGGCACTTTGCTGCAACCGGGCCTCTCAAGCATCAACATATCCAGCTGCTGCTTTGAGTAATGCGGGGGCGGTCTGTTGGGGTCTCTGCTAGGTAGGCTCTTGGGACATTGTTTGTATTTTCCTTTATTGGGTTTGAGAGGGTCATATTCAGAATATTTTTTTCAGAGGCAAGCCCATCTCAGCAGCTCTGAAGAAATCATACCCTATATAGCCCCGAAATCCCAAACCCCAGGCCCTAAACCCTAAACCCGAAACCCTAAACCCTAAACCCTAACACCGGCCCTAAACAAAAAGCACCAACTCCCAAACCTCGCTGGTGGATCCTGGGTTCCTAAGCCCTAAACCCTAAACCCGAAACCCTAAACCCAAAACCCTAAAACCTCCCTCTAATGCCCCTTCAGGCCCCCAAGGCGCTGAGACTGACCCCCCAAGCTCCCAAACCCTTATCAGGGTTTAGGGTTTGGGGTTTAGGGTTTAGGGTTTGGGGTTTGGGGTTTAGGGTTTAGGGTTGGGCTTAGGGCCCTCAACCACTAAGCCCCTGAGCCCCTGAAACCGCTAAAGCCCGCAACCCAAAGCAAGAAGAGAGCGGCAAGTCAGGCGTGTGTTGCACACCTACTCCGGCAGGCCCCGGGAACAGTTGGTGGTTTCTTGATGCTTAACTCCACACTTGGCCCAAACCCTAAACCCGAAACCCTAAACCCTAAACTCCAAACCCTAAACCCTAAACCCTAAACCCTACAGAAACCCCAATCAAGGCTTCAGGGCTTCGAGCTTCAGGATCCTCAGGGTTTGTCCGGGGCTTTTGCCCAAGCTCGTGTGCTTTCAGGGAAGCTTTGGTTTGGCCTTGCGATTTTTGAGGTTTACCGGGTTTAGGGTTTGGGGTTTCCGGTTTGGGGGTTTAGGGGTTTAGGGTCCAGGGTTTAGGGTTTGGGGTGTCCGGTTTGGGGGTTTAGGGTCCAGGGTTTAGGGGTTCGAGGTTTCGGGTTCCTTGAAACTTTTGGCCTCTTGGAAGGTTTGGTTTCGCAGTGGGCCTGAAAGAGGTTTCAGTCAGGGGGAGGTGCACGTGCAGATGCAGCCCTCCCTAAACCCCTAAACCCTGAACCCCTAAGCACCTAAACCCTGAACCCCTGAACCCCAAAACCCCTAAACCCCTAAACTCCAAACCCTAAAACCCTAGACCCCAAACCCTAAACCCTAAACCTTAATCATGACCAAAACCCCGAACCCCCAAACCCCCAAACCCTAAACCCCTAACCCCAAACCATAAACCCTAAACCCTAAACCCTAAACCCTAAACCCTAAACCCTAAACCCTAAACCCTAAACCCTAAACCCTAAACCCTAAACCCTAAACCCTAGACCCTGACTGAAAGCTCCAACAGACTTTGGGCGAGGTGCTTGATGCCCTTGCCTACTGCCACGCCCAAACCTTGGGGTGCGGGCCCCGGGGCCGCTAGGGAGCTAGAGGGTTTAGGGTTTAGGGTTTAGGGTTTAGGGTTTAGGGTTTAGGGTTTAGGGTTTAGGGTTTAGGGTTTAGGGTTTAGGGCAAGTTTCGGGTTTAGGGTCAGGTTTAGGGTCTGAATCCACCCACAACAACACAACAAGCCCTACAACCTACAAGTCCCCGGAGCCTTGAGCCCCAATCCCTTTCGACGAAACATGCCCCAGAATTCCCAAGCCTTGAAGCCTACAGTCCAGCCCTAAACCCTAAACCCTAAACCCCAAACCCTAAACCCTAAACCCTAAACCCTAAACCCCAAACCCCCCAACCCGCAAGCCTCCCGAACCCCAACACCTAAATGCCCCCAGAAAGCTTTGGGTCCCCTTAAACCCTAAACCCTAAACCCTAAACCTCTCTGTCATATGTATATAAACCCTAATGGCTTGGCCGGCAATTGTCAAAAAGTTGGCCGGCAATTGTCAAAACTTGGCCGGCAATTGTCAAAACTTGGCCGGCAATTGTTTTTTGCAATTGCCGGCCAACTTTTTGACAATTGCCGGCCAACTTTCGACACTTTTACAATTGCCGGCCAACTTTTGACAATTGCCGGCCAACTTTTGACAATTGCCGGCCAACTTTTTGACATTTCACGGGCCGGAACTGTCAAAACTTGGCCGGCAATTGTCAAAACTTGGCCGGCAATTGTCAAAACTTGGCCGGCAATTGTCAAAACTTGGCCGGCAATTGTCAAAAGTTGGCCGGCAATTGTCAAAACTTGGCCGGCAATTGTCAAAAACTTGGCCGGCAATTGTCAAAACTTGGCCGGCAATTGTAAAACTCCCCCCCCCCCCCCCTTCAGGGCTTGTGTTCAGGGTTTCAGGGCCCAGCGTTTAGGGTTTCAAGGCCTCAGGGCCCAGCGTTTATCGTTTCAGGGCCCAGCGTTGAGGGTTTCAAGGCCTCAGGGCCGGTGTTTAGGGTTTCAGGGCCCAGCGTTGAGGGTTTCAAGGTCTCAGGGCTTGTGTTTAGGGTTTCAGGGCCCAGCGTTTAGTTCAAGGCCTCAGGGCCTGTGTTTAGGGTTTCAGGGCCAAGCGTTTAGGGTTTCAAGGCCGCAAGGCCTGTTTGTAGGGTTTCGGGGCCCAGCGTTTAGGGTTTCAAGGCCTCAGGGCCTGTGTTTAGGGTTCCAGCGTTTAGGGTTTCAAGGCCTCAGAGCCTTTTAAAGTTTCAGGGCCCAACGCTTAGGGTTTCAAGGCCAGGGCCTGTGTTTAGGGTTTCAGGGCCCAACGTTTAGGGTTTCAAGGCTTCAGGGCCTGTGTTTAGGGCCAACGTTTAGGGTTTCAAGGCCTCAGGGTCCTGCTTTTAAGGGTTTTCAAGGCCTCAGGGCCCAGCGTTTAGGGTTTCAAGGCCTCAGGGCATGCTTTTAGGGTTGCAGGGCCTCAAGGCCTGGGGTTTAGGGTTTCAGGGCAAGCCTAGCATTTAGGGTTGATTTAGGGTTCCAGGCCTCAGGAGGGTTAGGGAGGCTTTTACCACGCACGACAGTTTTGCTTAGTGGTGGGCCTCATTAAAAGAAATTGAAAGCTAAAATATTTTCCTAATGTTATGGGTTCCAAAGGGTGGGTGGGTAGATTTTCAGTACCAGAGTAGCGAGCTTGACTAGTGAAAGCTTGGACTTGAGATGCTGAACCCTAAACCCTAAACCCTAAACCCTAAACTCTAAACCCTAAACCCTAAACCCTAAACCCTAAACCCTAAACCTTAAACCCTAAACCCTAAACCCTAAACTCTAAACCCTTAACCCTAAACCCTAAACCAGAAAACTTTGGGGGACCCAAAGGCCCATCATCCATCGGGACCTACAGCCGGAGTGCGCGCGAAGCCTACGCTTCAGGGTGCTCTTAGCAAGACCGTTCTGGGACATAGGGTTTAGGGGTTTATGGGTTTAGGGGTTTAGGGTTTAGGGTTTTAGGGTTCGGGGGCTTGGGCAGGAGTTTGACTCTTGCACTTGCCGCCGGAATTGGTGCGCGGGAACATGTTCGTGCAAACCCGAAGCCCTGAACCCTGAACCCGGCAGCCTCTAGGATTTTGGCTTTGAATTTCGGAGGTCATGTGCAGGATTGCAGGAGCCAGCCATGTAGAGCTGTTGATCACTGGCCACATGCTTTGGGGGGGGAGGAGGGGGGAGGCGGGGGGGGGGGAGTGCATTCTTAAAAGAAATGGGCTTCTTTCCGAAAGCCACAGAATGGTGCAGCTGAGAAACTGCGAACCCTCAACCCCCAACCCTAAGCCCTAAGCCGTAATTTGGGAAAGAAGGGGCTTCTCAAGACCCTCAAAAAGCCCCGGCGCTTGCGCTCTTTGCCAGGTCTTGGTGGCGGAATCCCACAAGGATGATCCCAGCAGAGGCGGGAGTGGGGTTGTCGGAAAGCCCCTTGTGCCTCTAATATAGGGGTCGGAATAATGACTAACAATATTCCCTGAAGCTCCCTTTGCTCCCCCCCCCCCCCCTCAAAAAAAACCTATTCCAGTTATCAAGGCCCCTATAGTTCGCCTTAAATCCCAAACGTAGTTCGTCAGGGCATTACGGGGGGTCGCATGTCAGGCAGGTGGTCTGGCTGGAGGTTGGGGGGGGGGAAGCTCTAAGAGAGGAGCTTCAGGTAGATATCTCTTCTGTGAGCTCGAGCCTTTCTGTCCTTGTGTAGTTAACTTGCCCCTCTCGGTCTCAGAAGAGCTCCGGTAGACCAATCTTTCGAAGAGCCCCAGACTCTACCAGGAATCCCTCTGTGCCAGAACCCCTCAGATGGGGCAAATTTGGAAGCAAGTGGCCCCAAAGGCCCAAGCAAGTCCTGTTCCCTAAGCTTGAATTCCGAGTCCCTACTAAATCTCAAGCCCTTACGTTGCTGTCGGAAATTGCGGAGGCCCCGCGGCGTTGAAGGCCTGGGTCACCTCCATCGGCCTACAGGCCACTGCGCGGTGGCCGTTTAGGGTTTAGGGTTTGGGGTTGGGGTTTTGGAAGCTTGTGGTGTTGACTGCGGCTTCTCTTTGTAGGACTGTCACCGACACAGCCGTAGCAACTGCAGATATAAGGGCTGGTTGCCCAGATATTCCCGCATCCAGACTTGTGATAAG